CCTGAGGCAGATACAGCGGTTTCCATTGTGACATTAGTGTCTCTTTCCCCAGATGTCATAGCACCAACATTTCTCTTGCCCTTTGCAGCCACAATTTTACTAGGTTTTAAAACTGTAGATACACTATTTTTGTCAACGTTCCATATTTGTGAAGCACTGAATTTGTATATATCCATAACTTCACCTAGCTTATCAAAAAATACTTTCACATTTGCAGCGTTAAATGATGCTGCCCTACCAAGGCTAGTTGCTTCAGGTTTCCTTATAAATATTTGAGGATTTCTTTTTAAAAAACTAGTCATCCAATCTTTACCAGACATCTTATTTACTGTCCAAAAATCTGGTATTTTGATTTTGTATTGAAGAGCACACTCATAAGCAAGAGATCGAACATCTTTAGGAGTATAGCCGTAAAATATAGATGCCATTTGCAATTAATAATTTTTTAAGGCGCTTTCTTGCTCTTGGGAAAAAATTAATCTGGGTTTTGAATAACTCATGGATGGGTAACCACCAGAGTTTAGTTTTAAAATATATCTTGCTAATGTCATTCTCTTGATGTCGAATTCTTTAGCAGCTTCACTAACACTTTTTTTTCCCTCCAAAACAAAACTTGCTGCATTACTAAGCTGTTGGCTTGTGAAGGCACCATTTGAATTTTTTCTTTTATAATTACGCATCCTATAATATATACATACACACACACACACACACACATATATATATATATATATATATATATATATATATATATATATATATATATATATATATATATATATATACAGTTACGCGGCCTAAAATAATTATATTTTCGCCAGGGGGTTTTGCTACATCAACTATCTTATAGCCTGACTCGCAACGGAGTGCTGCTACATCGACTATCTTATAGCCTGCTGCTACAAGGAAGTGCTGCTACATCGACTGAGGGTTTGGCATGGGGAAGCAATCTTTTTTCTTTTATTATTTCAATTATATTCCTATTGTTTGTAAAGCCTCTACTGACAAGCGGAAAAATAAAATTATTTTAGGCCGCGTAACTGTAGGATTATATATATATATATATATATATATATATATATATATATATATATATATATATATATATATATATATATATATATATATATATATATATATATATATATATATGTATATATATATATATATATATATATATATATATATATATATATATATATATATATATATATATATATATATATATATATATATATATATATATATATATATATATATAAAATATATATATATATGTGTGTGTGTGTGTGTGTGTGTGTGTGTGTGTGTGTGTGTGTGTGTGTGTGTGTGTGTGTGTGTGTGTGTGTGTGTAGTAATATTAAATAATTTATATAAATTATTTATATATTGTATAAATAACCAATATGTTTATATAATATAAATTATAATTTTTTTAAGTATGCACACTATCATAATATTATCATAATAAAAATAGTAAACAAGATTAATTTAAAAAAATTATTCAAGAAATTTTCAACTTAAAGATTTTATTGACCACGTAATATTGAAGTAAAAATATTTTTAAAATAATAAAAAATCAAATAATTTTAAATTATAAATACATATTAAAAAAAAAAAGGTTTAAGATATTACCTTATAATTGTGTGAATGAACATTAAAATGTTCACCAAACGAAATTTTATTTTCGCGTCTGATAAAGCCGTTTTATTAATCGTTGTCAAATCTGCTCAACTTACCCCTACTAGAAGACAACGCGACACATTAGTTAGGTTATAAAAAGAACTATAAGGCTAGGGGGAAAACGATAAGTATAATCAATAGCCAAATAAATGGGTAAAATATAAACATTTAAGTGATTCCAGATAAATGTTTTTTTTAAGCATTTAAGAGAAAAATAGCAAAAAAATTTTTTAACTTTTTTGGTCCAAAATCGAAAAAGTGTCTGTGCATGTTACTGAACCGCGGTCCAACAACTATTTGATGCGCATTTTATTACCATGCTAAATACCTATCTTTTATGCATTAGATATTTTGCCATGAGATGAGTAGTTTTTGAGATAATTTAGTTGCCCAACTTGCCCCTATGCTTAACTAGCCCCGCTCTACCCTAGTATATAATTTGTTTTCTCAGCATTAAGCGAGAGTTTGTTAGCTTTAAACCAGTTGTTTACTTTAACTAGTTCTATATTCATGTCAGCATATAATGTTTTGATATCATTGTTGGTAAGAAATAGATTCGTGTCGTCTGCAAACATGACTGAATTCAGTTTTAAGGATGCATAACAGAAGTCATTTATATATATATATATATATATATATATATATATATATATATATATATATATATATATATATATATATATATATATATATATATATATATATATATATGTATATATATATATATGTATATATATATATATATATATATATATATATTTATATATATATATATATATATATATATATATATATATATATACATATATATATATATATATATATATATATATATATATATATATATATATATATATATATATATATATATATATATATATATATATATATATATATATATATATATATATATATATATATATATATATATATATATATATATATATATATATATATGTATATATATAAGAAAAGGAGTGGACCAAGAATTGATCCCTGCGGGACTCCACATAAAACATTTAATACTCCAGAATGGACATTATGCAGATATTTTCTTCTGATAATAATAACTTTTAATCCAATAATAGGTTTTATTAATTAATCCGTAATGTCTTATTTTATCTAAGAGAATGCAATGATCCACTGTATCAAATGCTTTTGAAATACTCTTAAAGTAAACTTATTATTTGAAAAACCATTAGTTATTTGATTTACTATTTCAATAATTGCATGCTCAGTTGAAAGATTTTTTTAAAAGCCAAACTGATTTGGGTAAAAAAAATTGTTTTTAATAAATTAATCATAGATTCTATTATAAACTACACGTTCGAAGAGTTTTAAAAATACAGAAAGTATTGATATGGGTCTATAGTTTGTCATGTCAGAATGATCATTGCATTTGTATAAAGGAGTTACTTTTGCTAATTTAAGTACATCCGGAAAAATGCCAGAATTTAACCAGAGCTTTAGTACATGTATCAGAGATCTATTAAGACTGTGTTTGTTTGCAATAATTATATCACTAGGTATCTCATCGAATCCTGGTGCTTTTTTTTTTTAAAGAGGCAAAAGCTGCCGCAAATTCGTCATAGCTTAATTCGTAATCATGCATTATAACGATATTCGTGGGATTAAGAATTTAAAAGATTCAGGTGTTAGTATTATTTTTTTGACAAGGTCCGTACCAATACTAATAAAATATTTATTGAATTCATCCGAGTTTTTGACAAAATATATTGTTGCTTTCAATAACAATTCGTTTCGGTAGTGAAGGTGAATTTAGTTTTTCTTTTCCCATTATTACATTAAGGATGAACCATGTTTTTTTGCTACCAAATTTACATTTGTCAATTTGATTACTGAAATTTTTTTATTGGCATTTTTAATGAGATCTTGATAAAAATATTTATAACTTTTGTAATTTTTTTCATTATTATTGTTTTTATTTTTCAGATTTTGCAACACATTTTATATTAAAGCATCTTTTTTTGAATAATATTTTCTTTTAAATGATTATGATAGGGTTAGGGTCAGGGTTAGGGTTAGCTTTTTTTTTGAGCACTTTAATAATGATTTATCCATCCACGGATTAGCAATTGCTTTTGACTTTTTATAACCTCTTAGGTTTCGTTAAAATACTCCAAAAATGTACTTAAAAAAGCATTGTAAGCTTCATTAGTATCTTGACATTTATATACGTTGTTCCAAGTTTCTTGTTTTAGCCTACTTAACTTATCAGTGTTACTGATTTTTAAATTTCGTTTTTTCAAATGTATGGTTTTAGATTGACAGTCAGACGTAGATTTAAGGTTTTTTATTTTTAAGAATATCGGGAAATGATCGCTTAATAAGCGATCATTTCCCATTAAGGTTTT